TTTTAATCGGCAGAGATTTGCTTTCGGTGCAAGAAGAAACAGATATGTTCTTGAAGATTGAATATGTTTATAATGTTGTCTTTTTATCCGCCGTTTTTTTACATGTAAATTACCAATTCTCAATGCAACATTATTTTCAACTCTGTTGAGAATATTTTGATTTCATGTATAATTTGCTTTACTGCTGTTTTTGTGGAGCTGGCTGCACTTGGATAAATTACATTTTATTTGGCAAACCAAAGGACGAAAGTGAAAGAATTGATAAACTATAGGGACCAAAAATTTTGCCTTTGTGGTTTAAGGGCACGAAATGACAAATTTTATGCCTTATTATTTTATAGCCAAAGTCTAACAAGCCTACCACTCATAATCCAAGTCATTCTTACCAAAGGATAAAGGAGCTTTGCTTAGCCTATAAAAAAAATTTCCAATGTGGGACTTAAAATCCCGGCATTATCTTTCAAAATTCAACAGCAGCATCAATTGCACAAATGTTGACCGTCAATATTTAGTTCCACTTTTTCTTTCCTGTACTCATATATCTGACAGAAATTGATTGATAATATAATATAGGCACATAAGCTGATTAATGGAGAGCTTTAACTTCCTTTTTTTTTTTGGAAGAATGGAGAACTTTCTATTTTGAGTGCAAGCGATAGTCTAACTAGAGAGTAAGGAGTTTAACACACACGCAACCAAAATGTCGTGGGGGTTCTTCACTGAGCTAGACCTCGTTGGCGGAGACCTTTCTAAAAGACTCTTAATGTGGCAATTTAAAATAATAAAGAAAAACCAAATGTCAAATCACTTTTCTTCATTTAAAATTCTCTCCATGATGGGGAAACTAGATGATTAAAATTGTAGATCTTGGTAGGGGTGGGCACGGTTCGGTTTGGACCGGTTCTTGGAGAAAAATGGAACCTGATCCAATAGTGCAATCCGGTTCGGTTTGGACCGGTTCTGCTCAATATCCATACAGAAATCCGATCCAAACCGGACCTGTCCGGTTCCGGTTCGAATCCAACGGTTCCGGTTTTTGTTTTTTTTTTTGTTTTTTGTTTTTTTAATAATAATAAACAAACCTACCCAAAATGAATTTATATACTAACATACCTCAAATTTGAGGTTCTATCAAGCTTTCAACGCATCAAAATGAATCTAACTTTAACAAAAATGCATTCCAAATTCAATCCAACTTTAACATATAAATTACAACCCAAATTCAATCAAACTTCAAAAAAAATGCAATCCAAATTCAATCCAACTTCAACATATAAATTACAACCCAAATTCAATCAAACTTCAACAAAATAAGTTCCAAAATAAATTACTAGCCAAATACAACCCAAATTCAATTCAAATATACATTACAACCCAAATTCAATCCAACTTCATTAAATTCCTCCTAACATTGAAAAGTAGTTGGAGCTATGGTGCTAGGTGTGGATGAGACTGAGAGAGAAATAAAGGTTTGGAAGAAGGCTCAGGGCAGCTCTGTTCTGTCTGTATGAATGAAGGAACGAACGAAGAAGAAATGAAGTCGAAGAAGAGAGGAACGAAGACAAAAAAAAACCTAGGTCGTTTAAGTCAGTCAGCGTCTTTTTTTTTCCTCTGTGATGCGCGCCTATGGTAGTAGCGTAGACACCCAATCAAACTTAGCCAAGTATAAAAATATTTATATAATTTCAAATATAATATAAAAATATATATATATTAATTTTATTGGACCGGTTCGGATTGGACCGGTTCCTAAGGGTGGAAAACCGGAACCGGAACCGGTCTGAACCGGTTCGGTTTGGATTTTTCTCGGTTTTTGACTTTTTCGGTCAACACGGTTTTTTTCGGTTTTTTCCGGATTGGTTTGGTTCGGTTTTACGGTTTTGCGGTTCCAATGCCCACCCCTAGTTAAACTCGCCAGATTTGTTTATCAAAGAAAATTGCTAGGAAGACCACTTTCTATATACTCCTTGTGAGAGTCTAACTTGACACTCATGACACTCGGTTAATCCACGAGTGACCATCAGTCCCAACCCTATCACCCCCGAACTCGACTAGGACACCCTCGAGCCCGAACCAATAACCACGGACCCACACCAATGATCGTCAAACTCGATCCCATAACTAGGGCTCAAATGGGTTGCGTGTGTT